TGGTCACGAAAAAGTGAAGTCTACATACTCGTTGAAACACACCTGGATCCGCAGCAACACCAACAGACTTGCCAGTACTTCACCATCAGAGGGCGCACAGCATTTGGCACTCCAGCCCATTCCAATGAAAGCAACACCGGCACCCATGGCGGCATCCTAGTCCTTGGTGATGTCTCCTGCGGCCTGACCGGCCTTGAAGCCTACTCCAACCAGGGCTGTGGATTTCAAGCTTTCCTTTGGCAAGCGACTGACCTCACCATCCTGGTGGCTGGAACCTACTTGAAGACAGGAGAGACCTTGCAGAGTGAAGTCAATGCCACGATCCTTGCAAGGTTGCTAGCTTTGGTACAGGCCACAAATCACCCTTTTGTGCTCTTGGGTGATTGGCAGAACAGTCCCGGCTCCATAGCCAGCACGGTGCTACCTTCCAAGTTCCACTTTGAAGTTTTGGCCCCAGATGTCAGCCTGCTCTCAGGCAATGTCATCGACTATGCCCTGATCCACACCAGCTTGTCAGGAACCACTTCAATCACCACTGAGTGGGCCATTCCTTGGCGGCCACATGCACTCCTCACCTATCACTTCAACATTGAAGAAGCCACCAAAGAATACAGGCAGATTCAGCAATTTCCACCACTACCAGCCACACCGGACATCGACTTCCGGCCATGGACCACGTACAAGTCCACTGCCTACGAGCTTGACCTCTATGGCAACCCGCCCAATGACACCGCACAGCAATGGGCTGACTGGCTCTCGTGCACAGAGCGGCTCTCATGCACAGAGCAATACCTCCTTCAGGAGCACCCTTGGGCACCACAAGGCAGGGGCTCCAGTCTCAGGGCATGCCACAAACCCCTGACACCCAGCCACACAGTCACCACCTGGAAGAGAGGCAGACCGGCCTTCTGGGAGCAACTCAAGGCCCGTTTCCACCTGGCCCTCAAACAACCCACAATGCAGGCCAGAGGACTGACCAAAGGCTTCATGCAAGCCACAGCTGATGTGCCCAAGCACTGGGTGGGAACCCCCACCTGGGGTCAATTTCTTGATACGTGCCATCATTGGAGGCAGTATCGTGATGACCATGCTGCCACGCTCATCTGCCACACCCTTGAACATCAGCTCCAGCTGGCCCACCAGGCTGCCAATGATGAAAACCATCTACAATACAAAGCATGGCTCCAACAAGGCTACACCAAGGGCCTGAAGGGCCTGTTCCGCAGCCTCCGCAGCAGCGAACTGGCATGGGAAAGACCATACAGAACCTTGCCACCAGATGAGAGGATGACACAAAGACTTCAAGACTGGGGAAAGCTTTGGCAAATCAGGCAAGAAGATCAACCACCTGAAAGACTTACCCTCCAAGAACTGGCCAAGCAGCAAGGTCAGCAGCTAGAGCCTCTGACTCTCAGCCAACTCACGTGGGCGCTCCGCCACCTGCCTGATAAAGCTTGTGGCCCTGATGCAGTGACAGCACAATTGCTCAGAACGGCTCCCCCACTGGCTGTCAAGGCCCTTCTCAAGCTCTACCAAGAGATGGAAACCAAGGTACAGCTGCCCACCCAACAGCAGATGCACATGGTGGTGATGCTCCCAAAAAATGAGACCAAAGAACGGCCAATCACACTCACATCCCTGCTCTACAGGGTATGGTGTCGCCTGCGAAAGCCCTTGCTTGATGACTGGCAAAAACAATTACCAGCCACCATGCAACATGACAGAGCCCGTCCAGGGGCACAAGTGCTCCATGTAGCCCTCGAACGGCTACTGCGACAAGAGGTGCATCGTGCAACTGGGCGATTTGGAGTGACCTGCCTTATGGACATGTCCACTTTCTACGACACCATCAACCTTCAGCGACTCCAGACTGAAGCCCTGAACTTGCAGTACCCTCCACTGATGCTTGAAATGGCTTTGCAAGTCTATCATGGCCCCAAGGCCATTGTTGCGGAGCAGGAGATGACGCCATTCTTCACCGTCACCCATGGAGTCCCAGCTGGATGCCCCCAGGCCCCACTGCTGGCCAAGGCAGTGCTCGCCCCAGCACTCCAACCATGGCAGCAGGCTCATCCCAACATCCACCTCTCCAGTTGGGTTGACGATGTGGGTTTTGACACCGCCAGCAAAACCCCAGTCCAGGCAGCGAGAGCCTCTGTGGACGCCTACCGAGACCTCCATGCAAGGCTCCAGCAACTAGGTCTTCAAGTCAATCCAAAGAAGACAGCATTTGTCACCACTGACAAGGCCACTGAACGAGAGCTCAGGGCATTGCTCACAGACAACGATCCCCAGATAGAGCCAGTCATGAGAGACTTAGGCATTGATCATCAGGCAGCCCGCAAGAGGAGGATCCCGGTGATGAAGCAGCGCATCAAAAAAGCACACCGCAGGAAAATCAAGTTGAGGAGCCTCAAAATCCCAGCCCTCAAAATCCGGCTGCGCCTCCATCGGGGAGGCATTCAACCCGTTGCTCTGTGGGGTGTCGAAAGTCAAGGCCTTGCACCTCGATATCGAGCGGCACTGAGACACAGCATGGCAAAGCACTTGGGCCATCACACGGGCGGCCTTCTGGATGTCATCTATGATATCCATGCCAAGCGCTACATCGACCCTGCTGACCAGGTCATCATACAGCACATAAGAGCCATCCATCACCTCATCCAAGCATGGCCACCTGACCAAATGCCTACTCTTGAACAAGCGTGGCAACTGACCAGACAGCAGCTGCAGGAGAAACAATACCCATGGTACACTGTACGAGGACCCTTGGCAGCCACGATTGTCTACCTCCTGGAATGGGGATGGCAACCGCGAGACCTGCTGCATTGGCACCGGCCAGAAACCAAGCTGATGTTGGCAGAAGAGCTCCACCTTCAGCAACCATGGTGGGCCATTGAGCGAACCCTCACTCGTGAAGCTCAACAGCGGCGCACAGCCAGACTGGCCAGTCACATGGGTCCAGGCGGCATTGCAGTACAGAGATGCGCACCAGATCAAGAACTGTCCGCAGTGCCAAGTCCCAGCCACGGCAAAACACATACTCTGGCTATGCAAATGGCACAAAACTCAAAACCATGAACCCATGCCACCCGAGTGGATGGACCGCATTACGAGTCATGATGAAGAACGCTTGTGGGCCCATGGATGGATACCTCTTGAACCACAAGAAGCAAGAACTCAGCAACACCCACTCCAGGGACATGGCTGCTGGGCCGGCATGCAAGTCATCCCGCTCCAACAACACTGCGGCTGGGCATTCACTCTGGATGCTACTCCTTCCACCTATGACCAGCGCAGCCAGATGTGGATCTTCGGTCTTTGTGCCCACAACATGGCTCTGGGACAACTCAAGAAGCTGGGATCCATCACCGGGGTAGCAACCGGAGAACAAACCAAAGTCCGGGCGATTCTCACCGGATTGGTAGCCCTCACACACCACACGGCAGACCATGTCAAGGTCATTGTCCAGCTGGCATCCGTCTGGGAAGCCTGGCACCATGAAAAGCAACGGCACCCCTACCAAGACATCTTGAATGAAGTACCACCCCAGGACTTCAAACGCGTCACGGTGCTTTATATTAGCAAAAACACCAGGACACCGGACCAACCAGCCAATGAGCCGCAACTAAGGCGAAGGCAAAGGGAAACAGCACTGGCAGCTTGGGAACGTGCCAAGACCCTGTACGACAGCAAACAGGAGGAATGGCAGGAAACCCTAGACCAAGATCACAAATTGATCTATGAGCATGCCGTCCAACGCCTCAGCAAAATCTTTGCTGACAGCCAGCACTATGTGCACCAAAAGGCTCCCAAGCACCAAGGCAAGCAAACGAAGCAATACAAAAAGGAGCTCATCAACCGCTGTCGACAGGCATGGGACGAAGAGCACCACCACTGGGAGCAACACCAAAGAAGCGGATACCAATGCCGCAACTGTGGCCTGCGCATGCATCAAGGCCTTACTGCTGACATCTTGCAAACCAGGTTGGCCGAGACCTGCCCTCAGAAGGTGTTCCATGAAGCAGTCAACTCACCAGACACAGAGCAACAACTGCCCAGAAAACTCACCAGGATGCAGCAGATCAAGGCGCTGCTGGACAACCAACCAGAGCAGCCTATGCCAGGCCACCACCAACTGGCTGAAACCACTGGCTACCTGAAGTGTGTGGTGTGCAACCTCAACATCCACAAGCGGGTCAATGAAGAGGCATTCAAAACCTTCATCCACAGCACCTGCATCAACCAAGCCTATCAGGCTGAACACCATGGACACCCAAGCCATGCACTCTGGCAAGTGGGCGAGCGAGTCAAATGTAAACAATGTGGCACTCAATGGAACTTGGGTGGGCAACATCGCATCATTGCGACACAGGCCTTTCACAAGCCCTGTCGAGGAGCCGGTGGTAAACACACACCACCCATTAGCACCTTCTTTCAAAAGAAGCAAGACAGGTCAAGCAGCCAAAGCTCAGAGTCTCTCCCCGCAGCTGCAGCAGCCACCACCGGTCCTACTCCCAAGCGGCTGCACTTCCCCACGGCCTTGGAGGAAGCAGAACAGGAGGCCCTCACTCACGGCATGTCAACACTGGCCATGACACCCAGCCAACCCGGTGACACAGCCGAAGAGGACAACCTCCCGGACATAGCAGTCGACTACTTCTAGCAGAACCACCACGGTTCCTGCCGAAGACCAACTGAAGTGGCCCTGGCACTCCTGAGGCAAAAGGCCAGCCTGTACCGGCCAAAAGGCCCAGATAAGCAACTCTAGAAAAAAAAAAAACCTACATACATACATACATACCTACATACCTACATACCTACACAACTACACACCTACATACCTACATACATACATACATACATACAGGGGGTGTCTGGTAGCTCTAGCACTCTTTGGCTACCACTCATGGGATCGGCGGGAGCAATTTCACATAAGAATACATAAGATGGTTTCACGTTCGCCCCCCAACTTGTCCAACTTTCACTTTCCTGTGTGCCTGACTGTCATTCTGAAGCTCCGACAAGGCCTGTGCCATGTCAATGCTGCCAGTTACCATTCGTTCGGGTTTAGAAACGTTGCCTCTGCAGCCGCGTCATTTTGGGCAGCACGAATGGATCCATGTACTCCTTGCACATTCGAGCACAGGCAAAAGACCAAATTCAAACCCAAAGCATTGGACATATGCAAAACTGGTTGACTTGGTCAGCTGCTAAGTTGCAGACTCTTTGATCGAAAAACCTGCATGTCCAGGAGACAAACTAGACTTGACTCATCATGAGGATTGATCATACAATGAGGCTGGGAAAACCACCACGACCAACGCGGCGCCTTGGACACTGCTTGCCCGTTCTGTCTGAACCTGAGCGCATCAGTGCGGGCTAGGCTACATCATTCAGCACGATCCTGTCCATCTAGGGCACAGACTCCACACGGAACACGCAACGAAAACCGCTTGGCAAGGACTCAAACCTGCGCCAATGTCCATTGGAGGTCTGCGTAAGATTCTGCCAACAAAAACCGAAGAATCGAGGCACCCATCAAAGCGCAGTATGTAGCCGCTGCTTACACAAAGGGCTGCTAGCTCCCGATGTGCCTCCAAGCAGTTTGACAAATGCACTGACTTAAATGCAAAACTCCCTTTTGCGTTGGCCTCTGGTGGGGGCGGAGGTTGCGCCGGCTCCACCTTGCCAAATCATTCTGGAAGATTCTGGCAATCCCGTTGGTGGAAACACTGCTCTCTCCATGATTGCACCTCATCTTTCGAAGCTTCTCTTTCCGATTTAGCATCTGGCTAGGTTCAACAAAACTACTCAACACATGTCAAAACATAAATGCAAGCGAGTCGATGTTTGCTTGGCATTTTCGCCATAGCCTTGAACCGCAACAAAAGGAGATCGCGCAACTGGCGAACCTGTTGGACGATCACAAAGCTACAATTTCATCCCTTTGTTTTTTTCAGCAGCTGATTGAAATCCTCCCGCTGGATTACCCCGGCCTATCGTGCCTGCCACTGGGCGTGACAACGCAGCTGCGCCCAACAGTCGTTCGCACCTTGGGTTAACGCGTCGTGGTCACTTCAGCGGTAGGTGTCGCCAATCCGAGCATAAAACTCCAAACGCGGGCACATAAAAACACGTCTCATCTCTGCAAGCACCTGCTCCAAGTTTCAAAGAACCCGTTTGCTTTGGCCTCCTTGTCACCACATCCTTCTGATCACTTGTCATTTTCTCGTGATTGAAACAAACATGCAGCGAATCACTCATAAATTGTTTTTTCTCAGTTCGCGCGGCTTTCGCAGAAACCTGCGAACTTGAAAACATTATTTAGCCCATTTGACGTTCTTTCTGTGCACTGCAAAAACTGAAAGCATCATGTTTGTTTTTGGTTTGTGCGCTCCACTTTGACACTTATGTTTATATGTATACAGATCCACTGAGTGGGCAACCCGTGATTTTTCAGTTGGACGAGCGCCACATCAGGTGGTTCCGGACGGCATTGGGACCTGATCGAATATCACATGTTAGTAGCCCCAACCCGCATCACGAAACACAAGGCAAGTACAGTGGCACTGTGCTATAGGCTTGGAAGATCTGGGCGGCCTCAATCCAACACAATTATAGATCATCTAGGGTCCACCTGCCCTAGCACGTTTCGACAAGAAGGTTCAGGTCGGGCGATCTGAAATAACACACCACACCAAAAACGCAAAGCAGTGCGCCTCACTTCCGGCACAGACCACCGGGCCTGCTCATCGGGCTTTGGTAGTTCACTCAAAAGCGGCTGTTGCCACCCATGACTTGCTGAATACAAGCAAGTCAAGCCTGCAAGACCACGATCACGGGCAAACCGCACAGCAACAGCCTTTGCCCACGCTCGCCGCATCTCGCAGCTTGCCCTATTGGTGTTGCGCCCCAAGTCTCCAAGTCTTCTGTATGGCAAGTGTCAGCTGTGCAAAACAGGAAGCAGGGCCGATTAATATACAAACACGATCAGGTGAAAAACTTTTTGGGGGCGCTGCATCTGGACGCCGCCTTGCATTGGTAACAGCGGCGCCTAGTGTACCAATATAACCCTTGCCAGCTGCCCACCCTCCCTCCCACCCACCTCAAAATAGATTACGTTTTATTCTTAGGTGCACCTGAGCTCCGAATTATTTAGGGGGTAGGGAGGGTCAGAAATAATAAACCACAGAGCATGTTAAGATAGGGGGGAGGTGGTATAGACACCCACCTAGGTGGGTAGATATATGGGGACAGCTCCTAGGAAAGTGTTCAGTGATAGCAGAAGTAGGTGGTTCAAGCGCAACCACCTGCAAAGTAATTTATGGCCCTATTATCGGCGAAAAGCCTCGGCTTCAGATTATCGTCAAATTCTCTCTGGGAGCCATACTTTCCAGGGCATTCCAGAACCGACGCAAGACATCGGTCGGACGACCCTTGCTCAAACTTCCAAGCGTGGCGCCATAACTCCAACCTCACAGTCAAAGTCTACAGCCTCTACAGTCGGCAAAGCTCCCATCACCGAGTCGGGCACCGTAGCCCGTAGCCCCAATACGATGAAGGCCCAGAGCGGGCTTGACGTCTGGTTCAAAGCGCTGCCAGCGCTGGGTTGCTGCCAACAACTTGCAGCGAGCCTGCTTAGCTCTGCGCGCAAATCAAAAATCAGGGGCGGCAGCACGGACCTTTTCCCTCGAGCACAAACAAAGAGGCGGCTTTTGGGCCAGCTATCCTTGCCGGGGCGATTGCACCTGGCGCGACCTAGCGCGATCCAACAAAAGTTTTGAAGCAACGCTGAAGCCGTCTTTTCCCCTGCTTGGCCATGGGTTGCTTGAAGCGCGCCGCTTGCCTTTCACTTGGCCACGCCGCGTGCGGCGCCATCTTTAAGGATTTGGATTATATAGGAATTCGGCCTTTTCACCTTCAAGCCGGTAGGCTCTCTGGCCAGGTGTCATGTTGACAGCCGGCATGACTGGACCCAGGTTGCTGACAGGGAGGGCTTGGGTGGGAGTATGCTTGAGAGCGCGGTTCAATAGTCATTCCTACAAAGTCAGGAATTCGCCTTTTCACCTTCAAGCCGGCTGCCGCGATTCAGGTTGCTTTTGGGCTCTACCCTTCACTGGGCTTTGCTCCGACTCGCTTGAATGTTGCCGATGATCCTACCAGAGATCACAGCCTTCGCGAAACTTGCCGCCACTCCCTGCAGGTGGACTATACCTCCCAGCCGATGACTTCGACTCCATGAAGGCTTTTCCCGAGTTGCAGCAAATTGGATCCGACTCACCTTCCTTGTTCTGATCATTCCATCAGCCTCCGCCGTGTCAGACTCAATGGACTTAACTTCTGAGGCCTGGATTTGGCCGTCAGTCTTGTCTTTGGACTTTCTGGGATTTCATGGACTTGCTTTGCACCCTTTGCTTATCCCTTTCCATCTTCTGGATTTGCTTGGGCTTACGTCGCTATTGGATGCAGTGTGCAGCGTGGTTTTGGATTTGGCATTCCCTCTCTTTGCCGTCCTATCCTGTCTACTGCCACTCCATCCTTAGCTGCCCCTCCGCTTCTCCTCCTGATGGACTTCTCATGGATAGCAGGTCTATAGGGGGCCGGTCGAGCCCATGTTTTTGGGTTTTGTTCGCGGTAGCTTTAGCCGGGGCGCTTTTGCCACGCCGCTACACCCTGCGCTTTCAGAAGAAGTCACTAAGGCTGAAAGGCGGGCAGCAAACGCTCTGATTGCGGACCGAGTGTTGAGGCCTCAGACGAGATCTCGCAGGGAGCAGTTGCTGGAGTTTTTTGAAAAGTGGTTGATTGAGCAGCAGCGCATGACCCTTCCTCAACTCCTTGATCAGAGGGAGGTCGACGCTGAATATGTTTCAGAGATTTGGGTTGAGTATGGCAAACAGGTGTACTATCTGGGAAGCCTTATGGCAGGTACAGCGAAACCATAAACGCTGTTAGTGCTCGACGCCCGGTTTTGAGGAAAAACCTGGTTGGTGCCTGGGACTTAGCCTTCGCGTGGGTCTCTGATGAGCCCCACGCCCATCACCCTGCGACGCCGCTGTCGGTCGTTTTGGGTTTCAGTGGGTTGGCGCTCCTACGGGGATGGCCGGGGTCGAAGCCGCCCTCCTGGTGTGGAGTGTTGAGGGTTGGCGAGACCCTAGCTGCGCTTCGAAAAGACATCATCCTCCCCATGGACTCTGCCCCAGGCATCGAGTATATGCCTTGCTGCAGACCAGGGCCCCCAAAACACGTGGCTCAGCAGCCCGCCACCAGGCGGCTCGCATTGACCCTGATGATGTCGTCCAGCTTTTGACAGCTGTGTTTGGTCGGGTTCCTTCGACCCAGAGACTCTGGCCTTTCACAGAACCCTTAGAAGAAGGTTTCAAATGCTCCAGAAGTCTTTGGGCCTTCCCTCGGTCAAACTGGGGAACCAGGCCCCCTACGATTTGGCCTCTTTGCGCCCGCGCGGCGCAACATTTTTGTTGCAGCTGTTTGAAGAAGGCGGCATGGCAGGTGGCTTTCGTCTCGTGTCATGGAGATCTATCTTCAAGAAGTTTGTGTGGCGACTTTTGAAGAGAGAATGCCACCTGTCGCCCGCCAGAGGGTCTCGAGGATCGCGGCGGCTTTTCAAGACATCCTCGATAAGTCCCTCTAGTAGTGATTGTAAAAAGGCATAAGCTGAAGATCTCCCCTTTGACCTACCTAGCTCCCTTTGCAACCCTTGAGTCAAGTAGGGCTGCCAACGTCTTTCCTCCTCCTTCGAGAGCAAGCTTCTTTAGAAGTGTGACAAAAGCTCCACTCTCCAAAATGTTGATGTGGGCAGGAAAAGACCATCTCCATGAGGCTTGGACTCTCCAGCTCCATGTCATCAGAAGATCATTTGCGACAAGTGACTCAATGCCTGATATTGCCATCTCCTCTTTCTCCACAAGGAAGCCATCTTGTAGTGCTCGGTGGAAATGCTCGGCAAAATGCTCAGCAAGAGGTGGCGCATACTCAGCAGAGGGCTTCGTATACTTTCCTGCAATGACGACATGATCATTGACCTCCTGGACAGCGACGTTCCACATTCTTCATGTTGATCCGAAAAGCCAGGAGCCGGAATTCTTCGATGAGAGGATCCAAATTGGCATGAAGCAACAATGGCCTCCTCAACATGCTGGTAGTGCAGGAGGAATTGCCAAGTCGACAGCCAAGCCATCTTGGAAAGTCTGGGCTGTTCAACTAGTACTGGGACTTCCTGCAGGCAGCACACCAAGGCAGTGGCCAAGCAGCGGAAGGCGATGGTGTTCCCTCTCAGTGTCTTTGGCAGTCGGCGACCATAGCCCAGAGGGGTCTTGTAAGATCTGACCGCTGGATGAGCGGCAGGAGAGAAGGTGGTACAGACGGGCTCAACCATCACCGACTTAATCCTCTTTTTTCCGATCATGTAGATGATCCAGTCCAGAAGCTTCTAAGGAAAACATACACCAACAACGTCAGTACAGAGAGGAATCAAACAAGGGTAGTTTACAGCTGAGTGTGTGTGTGCCACCAGGTTTGTTAGCTTTGCTCCTATGAATGTTGAGGGCACGACTAGTCCACATCCAGGAAACCCACACTGGTGTTCCCAAGCATCTCGCTCCTCGGCAGTGACTCGCTTTTGACTGTGGCCAGCGTAATACACTTTTTTCTCCTGGCGTCGCCGGACTTGTCTGGGTTGCCGCGGTGGGGCAGCAGCCGGGCGGCGCAGGACGGCTTTTGGCTGAGGTCGAGGCTGCGCCTTAGCTGCGCGACGGCGTTGCCACCGTAGTTCGAGCCGCCTTTCATGGGCTGCTGGCGACCGTGCACGGCCACCTTCCGGGCGATGGGATAGGTCCCTCTCATATGGAAAAAGTCTGGCGTCTCATATCCGGTTTGGAGCATGTGCGCGGGCGGCGCTCACCTCACGAATCCATCACTACTCGTCACGCCAGGGCTGTAGGCCTGATGGGATGCCTGTCGGTCATCAAAGAGTGCTTGGGCAAAAGGTTGTTATACGCGGTCGCGAGCCACATCTTCGACGGTGGCCTCGTCAAAACCATGTTGGTGGCACAAGGTGATCCAAGCATCGGGTAAACTACGACGGTCGGCCGAGATGCGGCCACCATCCGAGGAGGCTAACCGTTGG